GGTCTCTACTGGACTGAGGGTGTGGTGGTGGGCTGTCCTTCCCACCTCCCCTTACAGGAGCCAGCCCACCCCAGCACCACTAGCTGGGCAGTGTTGTCCCACAGTTTGCTAACTTCTGAGAGCTCACAGTTAAAATGCTGGTCACAAAATCCTTACAGCTGGCCCTGGAGAGCAAATATTGACCAGGCTCCATGGGTGTGCACAGTCCAGATGCACTGCCTCACCCAAGAAGGACACAATCTTCTAGTCACATCAGTAGAGAGACTTGTATTCTAGTTTTGTGGCAAGACCTGTGAGATTTATGTTGTAAGTAAGTGAGATACAAGTGTGAAAGACAACTTTGTCCTTTGCGTAGCTGGGTACACAGTCCCCAACTAGTCTCTGCATTGATGAGAAAAATGGCCTTATTCCAGCCAATGGACCAACTTGAGCCAAGGTCGCTGACTGAACCCCTAGCCACTGGCACAACAAAGCCTTTGATAAATTGTCATGTTGGCCCGCAAGTGGGAATTTTGAACAATCTTGCAGAAGCTGTCCCCCACCCGCCATCCAGCACCAGCCAGTGGGATGACCCCCGCAGTATTACTAGGGCTGAAATTAGATTTTTTTTTTTTTTGCACAGTGCTGCAAGAAACAGTCAATACTGTCCATGAAAACGGAAAACCAGAACAACATGTCAACTTCAGATGAACATGTACATGGGGATAATAAGGAAAACCCCCAAGGGGATTTCTGCCCGCCCCCTCCCCCAGCCCATGTGACCCAGAAGAATTGGCCAATGGCCCCATGACTCAGAAACTATACTTTGAGGTAAGTGTCACACAGAGAGGGCAGGTGCTTCGGGGAAGGGTGGGGGAAGGTGGGGGACTCTCTTTGCCCAGAGCTGGGGGGGGGAAGGGGGGGGGAGTCTTTTGCAATACCTTTAAGCCCATTATGGGTGAAGGTTGGTGCAAACTGAGGTGAGCACCCAACCCACATGAGTGGAAGAGGGCCAGGACTTCTGGGGCAAGTGGGACATGCAAGGGTAAGTAGGTGCAGAACTTCCCATTGTCCCAAATGGCATCTGTCGCTTCCTGTCTTAGATAAAAATATTGTCCTTATACTACTTCAGCCAGTTAGAAAATTTGACAGAGAAGTCACAGAATGAAAGAAAAAAAAAAAAAATCTTGCCTATTTGCTACCAGCCTGAAGACATCATGGTCTGATTCTACTGCATTCGAAGTGCTGAATCTCAATGAGAAGCTGGCTCCTGAAAATTTCAGACAAGAAAATAGCAAATAGGCTTAATGATATTTCTTTTCTTTTAAGGAGTAGTATTCAATTTTTTAAAATTAGTTAAAACATTACGTTAAACCAAACAAAGGCTTTTTGTCTGAAGCCAGTTCTCAGGTTAAAAAAAAAATGCAGCAGGACGTGATTTTATTTCCTAGTATGTCAGATTTGTATTTGTTTAGGAGGAGGATCTGCCAAATACATTCACTGATACTTAGCTTCCAAACCCGTTGCCTGTATTCTAAGCTTAAAGATTAGCTTTCCAAAGGCCTTACTGTGACTGTTTTAAGCCTGAAGCGTTCAGTTAGGCTATAGCTTCACATTATATAGAATTCAGTGGCAACAGTGGTTTAGATTTAGAGGGAAACACTAGAAGTTAGCACTAAAGTATCTCTTTTAAGTCCTTCCTGACCTGTCTGCTTGCTCCCACTTCTGCACCGTAGTTCATTCCTTCCTACCCACCATGCTGTGACTTGGACTGGAAAACTGAGCCCTGAACATTAACTTTTTTTTTTTTTTTTTTAAATCCTAGATGTGTTTCCTGATCCCCTCAAACATTGCAGTGACTTTAGCCACACATGCCACAGTTCTCGAAGAACAAAAAGCAAAAGACGGGAATCCCAAAATTGATACATCTGCCACACTCTTTGTAAGCTGTTAGCTGCCACACAGTAGAGTGAATCTTTCTCATTGCTAAAATCACTGTTGTACATCTCTCTGTTTTATTAAGGTAAGCGAGTCCAGGACTCCTGCTTAGAAAACTAGACAAGATCTGGTTCATCATCCCTGGTAGCCAGAAAGGGAAAACAAGTGGAACACAATGTGGGTTACTCCATTTTCCTGCCTGTAGAGATAGTAGGTTACCAGTCTAGTAAAGTCGCACTCATACATTAACTCAGCTTAATATGACTATTTCAATGCACATGCTAAAAGCGGGACTAGATTTGTGTAAGAGGCTTGTATGCAACAGTTTAGGTGGTTAGAGAAGTTAACTCTGCAGCAATACATGACTGCAAATTAGTAGTTTTAGTGTCTGAGCATTACTTCCAATTTTTTTAAGACACTAAAGCAGGAGAAAACCATCCAATGATTAACTCCAATCTGACATCATCTCAACAGCATAAGAGTTCACAGTTGGAGAGAATTATTTTTTAATAATATTCATCCGAAACATGGCACTTTTACATCTTCAGGGCACTGAACATACAATGATTATTCCTCACAACATCCCTGCGAGGTAGGCATTAGATTGCAGTTACTATTTGACACGTGGACAGAGGCAGACAAGTATGTAATCAATCTTGCACAATTAAGCTAACGAATTTCAACCCGCTTAAACACGGACAGGCCCTCAATGACTTGACTGAAAGCATAGGAGTGGGACAAAGCTGGTATTTGATCAGCTATATTCTTTTATCCTAGTCAGTTACAACTCCCAATCCTCTTGCTCCCCCTTACCACCCTGCAAAAAAAACCCTTGCTAAACAAGATAAGCATGCAGAGATTTGTTAGAAAGTGAGGTCTGTAATAGAAATAGGGGGAAAAAACCACTTTAATTCAGCATAAATTTGAATCAGAACAAGAGAGAAGTTTGCCTGCCCAGTCAAATAGAGCAGTTTCAGCTCAGTCCTTTATGATGTCTCTGACACAGCATTTCAGCCTTCAGCTCTGCATAAAAGTATTTGCTCGTCCTAAGTACATCTAGAGGAAAACGTCTGGTAGACTGTGATCACTGTCTCACAGAAATTATGCTTAATTTAGGTAAACTGTTCTTCTGAAGTCTTAGGAATTCTTGGGAACTGTTGAGTTTACCTCTAAACACTTTTATTTTTAAAAAGTACACCAGTTAATCAAGTAAACTTCTCTCCTTTTGAATATTTTTTTTGTTAGCGTAGGGCTACCACGAAATACAACAGTTTTGTAAGCTTTAACATAATAAAACAAATCTAGTTTTTATTATACAATTATTGATTCATTTCATTTAATAGCCTTCTATTGTATATCAACTTCAGAAAAAAAAAAATATACCTGACAACATGGCTATTGTGATTAACTCATCTTCCTAACCCTTTCAGTCAAGAGATTTCTGAAAAGTTAAGACACTTTCCAGGAAAGGTTCATATCCTCAACCTGTAAACTGCCAAAGCTCAGCTGAAGTCAATGTAGCTGTTACAATTTATACAGGCTGAGTAGCTAATCCACTGATTCCTTCATGTGCAGTATCTGTGATAACGGTCTGTTTCTGAGTTGAGAGATGACAGTGGCTAAAGAGGCCTGGCTACACATATTCTGAAAACCAAAATATATCGTCCTCCCCAGTAGAGAAATCTTCATTCTTGTGTAATGGAAGATTCATTCTGACAGGGTAATAGCAGTGCATTAAGATGATGGCTTGTGGAAGAAACATCTTCATTTTTGAAGAAAAAATGGGGAAGAAGTGTTGATGCTATTAACCACTTCTACTCTGAGATTCATTTTTGCTTTTATGAATTAAAAATTTGTTACAATTACCCTCTCCCAGGGAATTTTAGCCTTGGTGAATGTACAGAAATTTTTAATCCACAGAGCAATTGTAGTCTCCAGATTAAAAAAAAAGAAAAGAAAGCTCAGAAGTGCACTTAGTATCTCCTGCCTCAAAGGGTTAAAGTGCTAAATTTGATAAATCCAAAAATTAAGCATCTTTCCTAGTCCTTTATTTTTTTAAATGAAACTTTATCTTTGGTTTCCTGTATCTTCTCTGTAATTTTATCCTTTGTTTCCTCCATCTTCTCTGTAATTTTATCCTTTGTTTCCTCCATCTTCTCTGTAATTTTATCCTTTGTTTCCTCCATCCTGTCTTGCAGATACTCCTTTACTGGTGGTGGTGTGGACATGTAGCCACTTTTACGTAGATATTTGACAGTGATGGATGTTCCTCCTAAAGTCACCGTGTATCTGGCAGGAGTTGCAATCTTAAAGAAACCAAAGAACACATCATATGAATAAAACAAGAAAATATCATCTAGCAAAAGGTATTTTTAATATTAAGAATTTATTCTGGCCAGCATCAATGTCACATACTAACAGTTCCATGTACAAGGAAATAAACCAATTTGCAGTACATTCTCCAGAAACAAGTACTTTTTATTTGAAGTATCCTTTTGGAAAAAAAAAAAAAAAACTAAGGTAGCTATTATTCTTTCTTTTTTAAAAAAACTCCCTATGCAGTTTCTGGAAAGAGCATTAGAATGCAATCTCAGAATGCAATTCAGAACAGGCAGCCTGTGAACATTAAGCCATCTAAGCAAACAGGAAATACTGACAACAAAATACGCTTTAAATTCCAAACTTCACAAGAGTATAGGCATCTAACTTGAGGTCCAAAAATAGGAACCACATATAGAAGACTAAAGCTAAAAGAGACCTTGAGAGATCAGCTAATGTAAACACATGAACCAGGTTTGTTATTCCAGATAGGTTAGACTAACCAGTTCTTTCAGAACTTCAAAGATAAAGCCTGCACAATCTTTTATTTTCAACCTATTCTACTGCTTCCCCATCTTGAAAGTTTCTTTCAATATTGCCAAATCTCCCAGCTATAATAAAAATCTTGGTATTAAACCACATGTATATACATTGGTTTCCTTTAGGAACAGGAATAATTGGCAAGATTAGTGCTTTCACATTTTGTTTGGGAAAATAACCCTTGTAAATAACAGATAAGAAGAACATCACATTTCAGAAATCAGTCAGATAGGAGGTGTTGCAGGTGAAGACTAAATTCATTGTGTTGCATAACACCTGACGTGTTTAAAGTTTACTGTGCACACGTAAAGCCAAAATGATACCCAAACCTGACTGTAAGGAATCAAGTGGACAGTGAACGTCCTCAGCAACAATCGAGAACTAAGGCAGGAAGACAACCTAAAGACTCCTCAAGGGAAAATTCACCTCTTTACCCCAGTTAATATGTAAGGGATATATACGAAAAACTTAATTGTAATTAAATCTGAGGGCAGACAACCATTTGGCAGCAAACAAAACAGTTATTTAAAAATACAGATGAGCTCCTTAAAGCAACACAGAGCCCATCTCAACTTGCATGTAACTATTTTTACTACAAGAATGAATGCATGCTGAAATATTTATAACGATGAAAGAGAGAAAATAGCATTAATTCTTTCTGATCTGAACAAATAAACCCTGTTCAATTCACCAGGCAAGACTTAAAGCTTATTTACAAGCTACTATTATACTTACTTTATACAATGCATACGCAGTCAGTGCATTTCCGCTTTGGGAATTTTTCAGGATGTTTAGTATGCTGTCTGGTAAGCCAATCAATTCCAGAAATGGAACCACATTCACTCCTCTATCAAAGAGAAAAAAAATGAAAATGAATAGGGTGACATTTGAAACTTGAACAGTGATTTACAGTACCATTTACATTCTTATATTCAGTCACACAAACTTTGTAATTTGATAGCAAAATGTTATTTTCATCTAAGCAATAAGCTTAAAAGCTTTACATTCTTGGTCACATAGGCAAATCAATTTTTTTTTCAGCATTACCCCTAGAAGTGAGGCACTTACATTATCGCCACTGGGCTGAGCAACTACTAGCTTAACTCGTGTCCCAGCTTACTATGTTCAGAGGTAGGTAGATATAGCAGTGGGAAGACAGCTGCTTTGGTTCCAATTGTGCAGGTTGAACTTGATGGAACAGAAAAAATCTATTTTGCCTTAAAAGAATTTTCTCTTTCTTTTCAAATTTTGGACTAATCCTGTAGCATGCCGAGAAGCCTAGAACCTAGAGTCTTCCATTCCCTTTTAAATATATCAAACAAATGGAATCTGGCAAGGGAAAGGAAGGGACTGCTATAGTCACCAGACTTCAGGGCTTTTGTGCCCATCTGCTCTACCTAGCCAATACAGGGGGGCTCCTATTACAGTTTCTTTCTACTTGAAAAACAGGGAAACCAATGGGAAAAAAAAAAAAAAAAAAAAAAAAAAAAGAGTCCTGCTTTACGTTACAGTAGAAGCTTTAAGCAATTAAAGAACATCTGACTTTCCAATATTCAGGAATGTTGTATTATTATCTGTTTCTATCAAATATTTTAAGCATTTTAGTCTTTTGTGCATGTGATCACTTTATTATCAGGAACAACAACAGGCAGTAATTTATTAATAGTTATTAGACTCTACAAGCTAGATGTCTATCCTCAGAGCAGAAAATAAAATAAAACCTAATAAAATCTGAAAGACAGCATTATTCAACGTTATTAAATAAATGACCATGGTTTAATCTTGTATCATAAGCAGTCATTCTGAAAGTTTTTTTTCACTTCAAGAGGGTGCTGCTCCTCTAGCATGACAAATTGAAGCTTTGTTATAATTAGTTTCTAATTAAACATTTCAGTTGCTTTCATTTGTCAAATATGTATTTTAGCAGCTAACTAAAGTATTTCAAGAAAACTAAACTATATTCAATCTGAAATGTCTGGATGTGAGCATAAACTTGGATTCATCTAAAGCAAAATATTTTAATAGCTCGAGACCTTTATTCCTCCGATATGAGCTAAATTTAGAATGACATTTGGATCTATAGCTCCTAGAAAGGGCAATTATGCCAGCTGGTTAGAGTAACTAAAACAAACACTTGTGTGGTAAGGCATTCTGATGTCAAAGCCCCATCCTTGCCGCCAGAAACTGCCATTGTTACATACTTTCTATTATTAAATATACAACATAGCAATCCAGAGATAAACATTTACTCAGATTTTGCAAACTATTTGCAGATGGAGAAAACTTCTTTCCTCTGAACTAACAGCTCCGAGTTGGTGTAGTTGTTTTTTTCTAATAAATGCCATTTTCTAAAACGGCATGTGGCGCACACTGTAGCTAAAAGAAAGAAACTTAAAATCAGAACTATGTAATATAGACACACACACATATTTTTTGCCAAATATTTAATTTTCAATTCAAAAGCGTGGCCTACAAGTTCGAAGACAAAACAAACAAACAAAAAAACCAAAAAAAAAACCCCACACAAAAAACACATGGAACTCTGTCTACACAGATCTCACCTAGCAATTCATAATCATGATTGCAAACCATTACCTTTACCTTGCAAGAGGTTACTAATCGGTTCCATACTGTTTACAGCCATGTATATTTTAGGGAGATTTGCATTCCTTCAAATGTTAACAAACTATTTGGTATACAGTAATAATTGCACATCAATGGTACTCATATGACACTCATGAATCCTATGTATTTTCAATATCGTATCTTGGGCTTTAGTTAAAAACGTAGCCTCCCTTCCCTATTACATATAGAGGCAGTTTCTCACATTTAATAATAATTTATATTGCAGAAATTCTTTCTTTTCAGTTGTGAAACTCAGTCTCAATTTAACAGCAGTATTGAGCACTGCAACAAAATATCAACTTACTTCATGGCTGCATAGTAAAAGGATCCAAACCATACAGTGGAAGTCAAAAGATGCACTGGAATCATGACTTTTCCATACTGTTTAAAAGTTTTCTTGAATCGCTGAAAAAGACTAATTGATTTGTCTTGTAATGGATCAGGGTCTGAAGAATCTGATTCTACAGGGCTCTGCTTGGGTATATCATTTGCTGAAGTCAAAGCATTTCTCTCTTCTGGTACTTTGTGACGAGTGTTTGCTGGTTGGGATGAAAACGTACTTTTCTTTGAGGCAAACAGTGCTGCACCTGCATGGTGACATCGTTTAGGAGGGCCCAGTGCCAAAATCACTTTGCAACCAACATTAGATGAGACTGATTGTTCTTTTAAGCGCTGAAAGATATTAGTGGGAGAAAAAACCAAACATGTCCCGTGTGCCAGCTGAGATGCAGTTTGTAATACACTCCTTTGCATTTTGATGAAGTCGGGCTGAGGTTCCTATAGAAAGGAAACAAGAGGGACAGAGTGAACAAATTGCATTTCAATAATTTTATTTGTAAGTGCTCCAATAGTACTTGAAAATATCCTCAAATTTTAAGTTGTCTGCTATTTCAGGATAAGCAGAGCTAATTCTTCTAACTATTTTAAAAGGTTTTCCTTATCTGGCTTTGCAGAAATTCTCAGTTTCTTATCTTCTAGGATTAAGCAAATCATTTTAGATCTCACTTCTTCAGTATTCTGAATTAAAATGGCCCCTTTACTTAACGTACTCTGCTCCTCACAGTTAAAACGCTCATTCTGCTCCTCTAAAACCATGTTTAGATGTTCATTGGTAAGTATTGATTTTATCTGCTTAATCTGGCACAGTTGTTGAAAAGTTACCCTTCAAGCTTCAGTTTTAGTAGCAACTGAGAGTTTAAGGGATACTTCCAGCCTAAATAAACGTAGTGCAACCTCGCTAAATTGTTCTAGTCATTGTGGGATGAAGAGAGAATAGTATCTGTAACATAATTAAAACTAAATTTTGGTGTCAATACATTCTTATATCCAGTATCCTTTTTAATATTCTATACTATTCTGAACTGTAAGAGTAAAAATTCATACAGTACACTCAATTAAGTCTTAACAGAAACAAACCTAACAACAACAGCCTGCTAGTATACATCTGTAAAGAACAGGGAAGGTGTTGTTGAATGTCATGTATTAACAAAAAGCAAATTTACACTGCGTTCTCAGAAACATTACAATGCAAAGAGAATTTTAGAACTGTGGACAGCCCTGTTGGTCTTCTGATTTTGAATACCTAACAGTTATTTCTCAAAGTTGAAAAGAACCATATTCCCCATAAAATAGAGGGAGGAATTTTGTTTGGCATTTACAGACATCGAGAAGTTGTTTGCTTCCACAGATTGGCAAATTACGAACTAATGAACGCACTGCTAACTCTCTCTCCTTTGGTTTATATAATGACCACGAGCTACAGAACTACTACGTCTCCTTGCCTCTAAGAAAAGCACCACTGACTGACTTTGTGTAACAAGTGCCAGCTAAGTTAGCTACCTTAGAACTCTAAAATCTTTTTGATGTTTTTAGACCTTTTATTACTATAACAATTCTTAATCCAAACTAGAAATCATTCAAGTTTAATTCAGACTCCACTACCATTTCCCTGTCTGGCTTCCTCTTCACTAATCGCCTTGGTTATATGTCATCAGGTGTTTTGATAGTGAATTTGTCTAGGTTGTTGAAAAAGATAAATACTTCATAGTGTAAATAGTTTTCAAAAAATATAAAATCATACATACACTTTTTTTTTTACTTCACAGATATAAAACAAAAAGTGTGTAAGTTTCTGCTCTTCGAAAACTTTTTCTTCTGCTGCTGATTCCCCACCTTTCAAATATACTTCCTGAACATATTGAAGACTCTGCCAAAGTAGAAAAAGAGGCATATTTAGAGAAACAGAAACAGACAGAACAGCAAACTAATATTGAGAAGATTTTTGGTCAGCCTGAAACCTTGCTTACTGAAAGGGGAATCAGTGTAATTTCCCCTCATAGGCTAATAGCTCCGAGTTTTTCTCAGAGCTTTAAAAATTCTGAAGTATTCGTTAACTGCATACTTCTGTCTCCAACTGATAGAAGCAGTATAACCCAAAAGCACTCGTTGGAACATTTCTGCCTTTATGTTTTCTTGACATATTTGCTGCAATCATTGTGCTATAATTACAATGTTTGATGTGGGGAAAAGAGTGGAAGGATGGTTCTGAACTCCCCAGAAAACTCTGTTTTGCACGTGAAGCACAGACACTCACTTTTGTTGAACTTACACCCACAGAAGAGGTATCGCCTCATGTGGGGACAACTGGACTCTTGTCTCTATGTAAGGAAGCTGTTACGGACTCCTGCTGAGCTATAAATTCAGTGGGTGCCAGGGAGTACTGCTGCTTAGAGCAGTAAATCAACTAGAGGTACTACTTCTCAACAAGTCAGTCTGTGCCAAGGTACCTGTAAGAATTCACTAGAAGTAAAAACTGCCTGATGTGTATCTGTTTTTATGAGAAGCAGAGGTTTTTGTTGGGTTCCTAGATTCAAATGCAACTTTTTCTAATCAAAAAGTGATGGAAACACTAACATTCAAATAAAAATGTTAAGATGGCATTCTGTCATGCACCAACCACCTTACTGCTTTATAGAAATTACAACAATAAACAGGGAAAAAGCAACTGTTACCACTTATACTACTTTCCTGAGGAGTAACACTCTCCACAGAGGATTACTTCCCCCTCTCCCTAGTAGGGCACAGCATTCTGAGCATTTGTCCCAAATAGGCATTCAAAACATCCAGCCAGCAGACTCAGCAGACTCAGCAAGGATAACTATCCATCTGTGGGAATTCAGGAGCTCCTGAGTCAGACTTCCACCGTATCTCACAATTTAGCTAGCTTTCAGCGGATAGTATCCTATCCCAAAATATCCGTTCTAAACAAGCTTTGAAAACTGCCGCCATACAGCATGGAAGAAGTGATGCTGACCGTTTCAATTCCGTTTCGTTATTGTTACTAACAGGATTCTACATGCCAACAGTCTTGGAAGGAGGGGAGAATTATCACTATCATTCGGAATACAGAAATTGATGGCAAGAAGCAACCGAACAGTTATATCTGAGTTTTCCCACTATTTGCATTTCTCAGAGCACCACTTCTAGGTTTTGCTGTCTAGCATCTATTAATGGTGCAAATACTGTACCAAGCCTCTGATTAATTGCTGCTGCTTCAGAACATTAGCATATGAAATGGCTTCCAGAACTTCAAAAAAATTATAAGAGAATTCCCCTTAATGAGACGCAGCAGCTGATCACTACTGTCTGTTCAATACTCACTAGTCGGTAGCTAACATACTTGCAAATGGTTAATGAGTTTCAAGGCCTTTGCTCACAGAATTAAGTGCACTATATCATGAAACTTAACAACAGTCAAAATGTTACTGATGGCTTTGAAGTAGGGGCATTACCAGGGTCACTGATGAGGCTTACCATGCCATTTTGTTTTTCCCTTCTCATCAGATAGACTTGAAACTCATTAACTAAAGCATTTCTCCATGAGGCAAGACCTGGCTGGTCAAAGGAAAGATTCTAACTGTTTAGGGTAAATCCTGAAAAGATCCTGAACCTTAGAAGCATAGATGGTAGCATGATTCTAGCTATTATCATGAGAACCAGCTTACCTTTTGCTTCTCTGCTTTAAAAAGCTTGTTACTAGATATTTGATACATAAGAAAAGGTTAAAATATGAGTCAAAAATGATAGTGCTTACATTTGGAAGAATGAACTAAAACAGATTTTTCCTAACAAGGCTGTAAATTTCCAAAAGATCTTAATGTATTTTATAGGTACCTGCTTTATTTTGCACATCTTAATGAACAAAAGAGAGACTTTTGAAATGTCAGCAAGTTAGAAAGGATGCCACTATTGAATGGCAATACGCACCTAGAGGAGGAAAGCGTTATATTTATAACGGTGACAGCAGAGTGTAGGAAAGGCAAATGAGTAAAATAACAGATTAAGGTAACAGAATAACGTACCATCTACTTGATTTTATTAGATTGATTTTTTATTAGAAATGAATATTGTCAAGAAGAGATGGGTGCAGCTGCTCAATTGTAATTTTTTTGAAAATTACTTGGCTCAACATTGCAAGATAATCTTAAGCAGAAGAGACAGCTCACAATATACAACTGTGGCTGTAGCTCACAAGAAACATGAAACTAGTTGTTTCATCCTTCCAAAACATCAGAAGAATACAGAAGCAATCTTCCCTTTAAGTTGGGATCAGTGAAAGGAAGTTCCTAGTATCTGCTGCTCTCCACATGCAGTAGGAGAAAGTGTCAGTCTGTGGATTTGTTGCATAATTTTATTCTCTAAATACAATACTTCCTCTGGCAAATTACTGGAGTTATACAAGTTATATCACTGCCTATTTAATTTTTAATTGTTAAAAACGCCTCAAATTCTAAGAGAGCCAAGACATTAACCTAAATGTTACCTGCAATGGCAGCCAGTCACTTTTTAAAAGTTATTTCTTAAAAATAAATGTTTTCGCGTATTTCAATTTTTTTCTGCTCTTGCATGATGCTGCAGATGCAGCCAAAGGATGGAAAATAGAAACTTCAAATAGTATGTGGAAAAACTGATGGTTTGTGGCACAAGAATAATTTTAGGGGGTGGGGGGGAAATCTGTTTTAAAGTGTCTTCAATATCTGTATTAGGTTTGTCTTCAACAGGCCACAAGGAAAAAAAAAAACCACACACAACATGAAGAGGTCTAAGGACAGATATAGCTGTTCTCTGGTCATGTCGTCGGTAACTCAACAGATGTACGAGGACAAAATATGAAACAATACATAACACTTCTGGGGTAAAGGTTTCCTCTTCAGTGCAGTCATATTCTAGCTGACTATTTGGTAGTATCTCCAGTTGGCTGTAAATTGAGCTGAAGAGATCTTCCCTGTTCAGGGCATGCTCCTTGTTGGGATTCCTGGTCAACCACTTGGTTTCTGAAGGCACGCCTGACTCATGACAAATTATTAACAAGCCCTCTGACGTGAAGGAAGTGCTCTAGTGGCCTCTTGAACAAAAGCAGAATTCAAGTTCTCATTACAATGCCAGAGGTTTTGTTTATGGAACTTTTGTACTTCTGTTTTAATTTATATCCGCTTTGGCATAAAACTGATATACTCCAGGAGTATCCCATCTCTTGCATTTGCTCTGCTAGATCTTTGCATTCCAGTGACTACTAGGAAGCAGAGATTAGACTTACTTTTCCTCCTGAGGACAACAGAATGTCAGCATGCCACAGAGTGAGTCTGTGTGATTATCACAAATTGATGGTTTTGGATACGTGCTAACAATTTAAACAGAAAAGAAACACAAGATCATTGGAAAACATACAGGTAACAAGCCAGGCCAATATAGTGGAAAATAGCGTGGCCTGGAATAGTCTATCTGCTGTAGGAAAGAGGAATCATGCCAGAGACACAGTCAGATGAAACTTTCTCAGGGTAATTTATTTAAAAACTGTTATCCCGTTATAAGTAACAAATTCTGAACTGCAAAAGAGAACAAAAGCTAAGAGAATGGGGGTAGATTTAAGATGGCAAAAACTTCAGTGTAAGTTCCCTTTTGAAAAAGGGGTCAGAAATCATCTGAGGGAATTGGGAATATAGTATATGTAAACTACTGATTTATTTTCTCATCCTAGTTCTATCAGAAGCACTCTGGACACACTGTGTAAATATGGATGGTTTTAAAACAGTTTCATTCGTTCTGTTAGCATTTAAAAAGAGAGCATTAATTATACCACAGGAGAGTTCCCACTCAAAATCCACAAGCTTTTCCACTCCCAAAGCACCATTCAATGAAATCAGAAAATTAATTTATATTCTTGTCATTTTTGGTATAAAATCAAGCAAACTGAGGCTTGTGTGTGGCATATACAATACAATTTTGAAAGCACACACACCAAGTTTTCAGAAATTCGTATGAACTCACCTTTGCATGAAAAAGATGTAAAAAAAAAAAAGTACAGATCTCATCTAAACTACTCAGTAAAGCTTAATAAAGTGGACTTGTTTACAATGTTTTACTAAGTATAATTTTTTAAAACCTTGAAGTTTGTTGTCATACTTAAAGTTGTTCAAGAACTTACTGACAGTATATTCTTAAAAACCCAACCAAACAAAAAAACCCAACCAAACAAAAACCCCACACACCTTGCCAGACGTTAAGCTAATAAAACAAAACAGGAAAGATATAATTGAACAGAAAACATACATGGGTTGCATAAAAGCTGCGAACACATTTTAACAGCATTTTAACAATAGTGCAATACATGCAAAGCATCATTGTTTTTTGAAATTCAATGTAAAATAAAACTATGAATCTCTTAGTAATTGAAATGGTTCAGCATAGCATGCACTCACTTTTTATGAATGAGAAATGGTAGTGCATTTGGACTTTTTAGTCTCTGTATCAGTACCTCAGCAGTATCTGAATGAGCATGTAGGATTTACACTTTAACTTCAGCTACACTTGCAATGTCCCTGGAACGATCTGTTATTTACTCTAAGCTATGAAAATTGGTTCCAATTCGAAGTTTTGGTACCAGTATCTGTCTGATCTTGTCAACCATTCAGAACAGTCCCCAAAATCATCAATCTACATTTTAGGGTAAAGGCAGTAATGCAAAATAAACCACGGTAAATTTATTAAAATCTTTGCCAGAATCATCTCATCAAAACACAATGCAAGGATAAACTCTTGTAGACAAGTTATCCTAAAACATTAGCCCCATTCCACCTCCATCATGTCTGATCTCTGCAATAGCTTCACTTAGTAAATGCTATGCTATTATTTTTTAATTTCTTATATTACTACAGTGCAGTACTGATACA